CTTCCTGGCTACCTTCAAGTCTCAGATGAAATCCCACTTTCTACAAGAATCTTTTCTTGTTACACTTAAAGCGAGTTTAAAGGCATANTACCTTCAAGTCTCAGCTGAAATCCCACTTTCTACAAGAATCTTTTCTTGTTACACTTAAAGCGAGTTTAAAGGCATAGTCAGATCTCCCTGGCTCTCACCGACAGGCCAATGACAGGCCCCAGCCCAAGCCTCACTTGCCCATTATTTGGGTTTTGATGGGTCAGAGTGAATGTAAATAGCAACTGTTTCTGTTCTAGCCAGAAACTCTGAGGGTCTCCGCCTCCTTGACTGATTCTTTTGTGAAGGCAAAGTAGACCATCTTGTACCTCACTTCTTACCTACTGGATGGGTATTGCCTCAGACAGACCTGGGAAAGGCCAGGGTCTTCCAGTGCGTCTGGGCCATCACCAATTGTCCTGACTTACGTCTTGCCACTGAACTTCAATGACTTTGGAGGAGAGAGTGAGGATGGTGACTGCACAGCCCTGCCTCACTTAAATCCAATTCATTTGCTGGTCAAGACATCACCCTCTTGATGTCATGGGCCCTCTTCCAGAACAATGCTAGTGCCTTCCCCTGCGTTGATAATTTCCAGTTTCCCCTGTATACAGCTTGTTTGTACACAGCTGTTTGCGTGTTGTCTGCTGTGTTGGACTGTGAGCTCCTCGAAGGCAGGATTGTTTTTTTCCCTTCTTTGCATCACCAGCGCTTGGCGTGGTGCTTAGCATCTAGTAGGCTCTTACTGAGTACCTGTTGACCATTCTGGCAGGTGGCAGATTGGCATAAAGCAGCTCTTACTCCTGACATTCTGTGGTCCACCTTCAAAGGTCCATCCTAGCTGTGACACTTGATGTGATCTATTCTGAGGTCCCTTCTGGCGCCGACATTCTCTGTTCTTTGGTCTCTTGTTGCTTTGACATTCTGTGTCCTGTGTTCTTCAGGTCTTCCCAGCTCTGTGAAGTGAATGAAGCCTGTTAGCTGCTTCCCAGAGAACTCTGGAGATTGACAGAGACACCATCTAGCCCTGGGGACCCCAGGAAATCACAAAAACCTAACCCGAACCCCCACTTTTCTTTTTTCCTTGATCCTATAATTTCCCCACAGTTTTGCTCTTTGTTCAGCTATGCTTTAGACATTATCTGGCCCAGCCTTCTGCCTCCAGGCAGATTAAGTACCATTATCTCCATTTTACAGATGAGTCCAGAAAAGTTAAGTCCTTTGCCCAAAGTCAGAAAGATTAAAAGTAATTGAGTGGCAACTGGAGCTCTAGTGTCCTGGCTCCCAGGTCAGTGGTCTCTTTAGTAGGCCAGGTTTTCTTGAGCTAAAACAGATTCCACCCTCCTAATCTCTTCCTCCCCACCCCATATTATCTGTCACTGTGCTGCCAGCCTTCTAGTCTAGTGAGGATCCTGGCTGCACGTAGGCTGGTGCTTGGATGGCAGACACACAATCTATCAAGGGTCTCTATTTGAAACCCTTCCACACCTTCCAGGACTTGCACACCACCAGCATCGTCTTCAAAAGCCGAGGGTCACCCCCACACCGTGAGGAGGAGGAGGACAGCCTTCATGTAAGAAGACGAACCCATGACCCAGAACGATAGCATGAGTTTTCTTCTCTCTCTTTTCTGCTGTTTCTTCTCTTTCTCTCTCTCTGTCACTCTTTCTCTCCGTTTTTCACTTTCTCTCTCTCTCTCTCTCTCTCTCTCTCTCTC